ACACACACACACACACACACACACACACACACACACACTGACAGGGCCGTTGCAATATGCTTTTTTTGCTGCCTGTTGCAGCGCTTGCAACGGCAAGAAAGCACAAAAATGAAACTTTGCAGGGATATTCTCTGTATACGTGCGAGCTAAGGATTTCAATTTCAGCTGTCGCGGGCGGTTGTGCAGCACGTGTGAACACGTCAAAGTCTGCAACTTGGTATTGTGCTAATTTGAAAACTTGGCGGAAAAAAGTGGCCGAGATTTTGTCAGCATGTTTGTCGCCCACATGGGAAGTCGTGTGCCTAAAATGAGTGCCGATTTGCACTTGCGCCACGACTTAGGCCACTTCGAAGATATTTGTAGCGAAGTGATTATTTCATTTAAAGAATAAGGCGCAAGGCCTAAACATGGCTGGAATATCCTACTTTCAAGCGCGGTATTAATTCTGCTTGGAAGTGAAATTCACTGCAGGTGGGCATGAGAAATACCCAACTTTACTAAAAAATCAGAAAAGAATGCATTTTGCAGCGAACGACCGCCCTCATCCTCTCATAACTTGCAAATGAACCCATTTACATATTTGGATTTTTTGGAGAAAGACAGCGCCAGCAACATTTCTACTTTTCAGTGAACTGGAAATTTGCATTTTTCCGAAGAGTTAGTATTTACTACAAGAACGACCAGGCTTCATGCAAAAATCTGATAATCATTTGCCTGGGGGCCCATGTGGACCTATAATGCAACACCTTCATCCCAACCGAAAGACCGGGCTTTCCCCTACATGCTGGAAGAGGCCAAAGCACGGCCAATATTGAACTAAGCGTTAGGCTGCAACACAGGGATCATTCCTGCTATTAGCGAACTGCGAAAATAGTTCAGACCCGCATGGTCGCACCGGTAAGCCTAGTGCGTTCCAGCATGAGTTTGCACTTAACTTGAAGCAGTTAGCTAGTTAATTACATAAGCCTCAAGCACCACACTTGCCTAGTGCGCTCACTAGCGTAAATCATCATAAATTTTTCATAAAGAAGAGTGAACAATATCCGTTGGACGGTCGTTCTTTGAAAATGAACTACCATTCTGTAAGCAATTTTCCCGCCGAAACTTTTCAGTGCTCATACGTGGGAAATTGGCGCTTGATAGCTAAATTTGAAATCTTTAAGTTGCACTTGGGCAGGAGAAGCCCCGTTAAAATTTCAACTTTCCAACTTTTCTAGTCTCCGAGTAAGCAATTTTTCGCCAAAACTTTTATGTGCTCGTGCACGGAGCCAAGACGTGCGTGAGGACTGTTACCGCGGCTCACTTGGCTGGGGGACCTATTGGCAAAATCTCATCGTCGAAGCTTGCTTGGTTGCCGAGTTGAAATACCCAAGCTAACGCACACATAAATACACACGCAAAAATACACAAACACACATACACACAAGTCATGGTTCATTAAAATATGCATTTTTTGCATTTGCATATATGCAAAAGCTAATAAAAATGAGATTTTGAAAGTGTACTGGATGTCGGAGCAGAAGGGTTACGAAATCCGCAAAACGCACTCAACTTTTGAGGCTGCGGTAAAATTGAGAATTTCTCCTGACCTTGCGCAGCAAATTTAGCCTTCAAACTGAATTTAGAGCAAACGCGAATATAGAGCATTTTTGCAAAAGTTTCAGTCTCGTAATCTTGTCCGGTAAGAGAAACAGCCATTTTGCTACAAATATCTTAGAAGTACCTGACTGCTAGCACAATTGCCAGTGGAACTCGTTTCAGGTATGAGTGATAAATATTATGACAGATTTTCAGCTACTGTTTTCTGGCTACTTTCTGAGTTGGTGCAGTACCAACTGCGGGCTTTGACATGATTGTAAGCGCGGCATAGGCGTGGGCAATAGCTGGATTTGAAATTTTTGGGTTGCACATGCACAGGGGACATCAATATGAAATTTAAGCTTTCCAGCTTGTCTAGCTTTCGAAATCGTTTTCCCGCTACAAAATTTGCAGATTTGTTTTCTGATGTACGTGAGATCCAGGCATACGCATAGCGGTGATTTCAGGTTTTAGGGATGACACGCACGTTGTGAACGCGCTCGCAAAATCCTAGCCTTTCAGCTTTCCTGGTTTGTGAGATGAAAGCCAATAACGAAGTATACACACACACACACACACACACCGCGAGCCCCTCGACAATATGCGCTTCTGCTCACTGTAGCAGCGCGGTAACGCTGTAGAGCGAAAACGTATAAAAATAAAATATTGAAATATACCTGCCAGTCAATAATGCCAACTAATGACCGAGCGCCATCTTTGCCTTTCCGCCACATTAGATTCCCCGGCCACAGGTCACCATGTACAAGAACGGGAGTGATTCCTAAAAAAAATGCTCAGGATGTAAAATGGAGCAATAGTGCCCTAGCGCCAAGTACGTACAGACAGTGTTGTTTTAGCTGGCAATAGAATAACGCAGAAAGTAATCAGCGGAAAACCGTTCCTTTTAACAATCAAAATAAAGTTCAACTGAGAGAACGCGGTTGTAAAAACTTAAGCCTCTCTGTGCATTTCAGTCTCACAGGTAAATAAAGCTGTTCGCATTTGAGCCGAAATTGCCAGCACAGTAAGGTAAAACTGAGTCGGGCGATTACGCTGCATCGCAAACATATATTGCACAAGCCTGTGTCAGCTCTAGTTGAATAAATGCGGAGCACTGGCACGTGTGCTGCGTTTATCCGAGCTCCCGGTGAAAAAAAATTACACATCCGAAGAAAATTATGGACTCCTTTACAAAGGCTGGTTGTTGTTAGGAGAGGTGCAGTTACTATTCCACACATTTTCCTGGTTCCGTCGCTTGTCGGAATTTAAACTCGTACATCTACTCATACATCTACTTAACTTTGACTGTATGTCTACTGCAAAAAGCAGGAGGCAGTTGGCGAAGATACATCGCCGGTAACGCGTGACTGTGGCCTTCTAAACGCGCAGCCGCACACAGAAAAAATTTGATGAATCATTGGAAAACAAGCAACGGCACGCACTGGGGTAGCCGGTACGACCGCTGCTTTATAGTTGGAGGTGTACAAAAACAGCCGAAATTTTGTCTGGTTCCTGAGATACAGAAATTTCAGAACGAAAATCTCACACGGCCGCACACGAAACATTGGAGTTCGTGAGATCTGAATTTGAATTTGTGGGATCGTACATGAACAGAAAATATTCGTCAATAATTTCAGTCATCTGCGTTGTCTGATTCCCGTATTAAACATCTCCCGGGCGAAATTTTACGACCCGCATGTAAATCTTAAGCGCACATTAAAGCTGGATTTAAATTTCCAGAGTTGTGCATCGGCAAGAAGCTTCATACTAAACTTGAAGCTTTCCATCTTGCTTGGTTCCCGGAATTTCCTCGCCAATAAAGTCATCTGACTGTAATGCAATATCTGGGACAACAAGTCCTGTTTTCCCGATTCCAGAGTTGAAAACACCAGATAAAATACACCCTAAACGTACATATGCACATGCACACACACATTCATAAACCTCTTCACGATTATTTTTGCACCGCTTAGATGCGAATGACGCATTAGAAAAATGAAACAAAATTTTTATGATAACACTGATTGTCCATACCCTCATTAGCAATTCTAGTGAAAGATGCAACGGTCAAATGTCTTAGATAAGTTTCTTTTGAATGTTAGTTACAATGACTTTATCCATCGCCACGTTCACAAAATCATCTAATTGCATTACTAACCCATATTCTTTGCGACGCTGTCAAGTATTTGCACATCCATCAGTGCATCTATATTTTTTATCAGTTCATCCATTACAGAAATGTTCCCTCTCTCGACTAGTAATGGTATTGTGCTACTCGCTTTAAACATCTCCTGAATTACAACAGAATTGCACGAAACATTTTTATCAAAACACTACAAGTACTATCATTTTGCAGCGTCCAAATAAGGAATTACTGCCTCAGGTAAACGCAGTACAAAAGTTTAGCAGAGCTGGGTCATCAAAGCCAAATCGCTGTATACACATCAATACTTCAAGCAATAATTTCCTGCTTATAGGCTTTCGGCTGCTGCTGCGCACTGCGCAACACATCTTCATTTTGCCAGTTCCGATTCCTATGATAAAGTTAAAGGGCAGTGAAAACATAAATACTAGCTGCGGCGCGAACCAGATTTGCTGGTGTTATTATGCGTTTTTGCAATCAGCTAA